AACGAGAGAGAGAGAGAGAGAGAGAGAGAGAGAGAGAGAGAGAGAGAGATTCCAGACACCCATCAATGTGATGGATAGCATTGCCCGTCACTCCAGTGGGAGCATAGGGCACCAAATGTCCTCCATTCATTTTTGTGCTGGGGAAGCCATCTATGCTCTTCCCACGTCTTTCTTGCCCATAATCTTTCATCCTCAGCTCTTCTCCTCTTGACAGTCTTTTTTTCTCTCGTTTTCTCTCTTTCTTTTCCATTGTGGGATTTTGGGAGGTCGAGACATTTCTTGCAAAGAACGTGGTCATTTTCTCCATCTTCCTTTGCTCTATTACTCCGCAATAAAGTGTGTACCTGGGAGATCAATGACCTTGTTTTTACCGTTCTTTTCCTGCCACTGGATGTCTTGTGTTCCTCTGATACGTCTGCCTTCGGATCGTGCCATTTTGCTTACCGTCTGTTTGCTGGTCCTCCAAGTTTCAAATGCGTTAAACAGAACGGGATGAACATTTGTTTAACAGTTTTAAAATTGCCCTTTTGCCATATTTCCTTGATTTCGAGGAGTGTATTGGACGGCTTTTTGCATTTTCCATCCTTGCAGTATGTGTGTAAGAGTAGTATTTTTAATGGCGGTTTTCTAACTTTTTGATAACACTTTCACCCCCGTTCTTGAACAAGGCCATACAGTGACCATGAAGAGAGTTACGATGAAAACGGATTCAAAATCATTTTACGTTTTGTTTTTAGCATAATATATTTTTTGTACTGTCGGCTACCTACATTAGTCAATTAAAATAGTGTGTGCCCTTTCGGTGACCTTGTGTCATTGAACACCTTTTTCATATTTGGATTTTCATGTTTACTGTGTTACCGTTTCGGCCATGGACACAGCCATACCGCAGTGTGAAGTAGCACTTCTGTTATATTATAACGTGTTTTGTTTTGTTCTTTTATAAGATCAAAGTTGAGCTCACAAGCAAAGGGCTTAGTAAAGGTCTGCCGTGGAAATGGTCTTGGCAAAATCCAAACTCGACTCTTTCAAAATAAAACTAGTTCTGTAAGCAAAGTGTTTAGTCGTGGGATTTTTCTGGAAAGGATATTGGGTAAGGTAAAAATCAAAACGTCATTGTCATTTCTGACTTGTCTCTTCTCTTTTCTATCGTGGAGAATAATCTCGCTTCCCATTTGCTATGCCTATAACCCTTGGTTAGTGAAGTTTCCTTGACAATACTGTTTGCTGGAACATAAATGAGTCGTACTTTACCTATAAATCCGCAGTAGGTCCTCTATCTATCTATCTATCTATCTATCTATCTATCTATCTGTCAGTCTGTCTGTCTGTCTGTCTGTCTGTCTGTCTGTCTGTCTGTCTGTCTGTCTGTCCGCCTGTCTGTCTGTCTGTACTCGTATCATACTCGTATGTATAATGTAGACTTTACATTAAGTTAGCCCTTTCTACGCAAACAAAAGCACATGTCTGCTGTTGGCGTTTGGTAGACCTCTGAATAGCTTGCTAGTTTTGCGGTGATGGTAATTGGAGACAACAGAGCCTGCTGGTAGTCTTACTCCTTTCCAGTCGGCCTTTTCTGCTACATGTCGTTTTACTTTCTTGTAAGAGCTAGATGACCCCCTGAGCGTCGATGTGATTCTCGTAACTCAATCATCATGGTCGTCATGGGAACGGGGCAAAGTGGCTTTCGCTTATCTGATTCCTAAACCAATAAGTCAAGCCTCTCTATGCTGCACGCCTTGGCTTTGGGCTGTGTACTTTGCTCCGAAGTAGCTCCTTATTCTGTGTACGGAGCTGCTTTTACCATTTCAGAACACAGGACTGTACTCAAAGCATATAGACTATTTTTTAAAATCTCATGGCTGCCGTCCACATATAGATTTTCTATCCTCAGGTCTTCTCAATCTTTTCTATGTTTGCTAATATTGTTTATTCCAAAGTTCGTGTTTGAGACAAATAAAGGTATGGCCCTTGTATTGACCTGTTAGTCTATGTTAATTTATTTCAGACAAATTCTTGAGAACGCCATCAAGTCTGGTCACGTGGTGCTCACCATCCGAAGGAGGAGAAAAAGAGCAGCAGTCCCGCCGCCGCTACCAACACGACAGACATCACTAGTGAACTCCATCCCCAAGGTTCGCAGCGCATCCACTGACGGGCTTAACAACGTCACCCCATCCGCTTATCAAAACTGTACGACTTTTGACCCCGGCGCACGAGCACGGTCGCTGGACGATCCCGACACCCCCGAACCTGTGAGTCTTGAGTACGCCAATGAGGATTTAAACATCTCCTCCGATGACGTTTTCGCAGACTCCACGACCCCAGAAGACAGGGTAACCTACATTAACCTCCCTCACATTCGTTTCCACCAAGGAGTGGGACCTCCCCAAAAGGCGAACGGTCATCTTCCTGGACCCCGCACCACGGGTCAGTCTTCCAGCTCTGACCAGCAGACAGTGACGGGGGAGTCACGCGTCCACAGCACGTCTGCTGTAGAAGAACTGGTCACGTGGTCACCAGAGACGGCCAGATCTAACAAGAGACCGGATTTCTACGTACCTGGGGAAGAGACCACGGGAGGGGATCTTCAGAGACAGAGTTCTACCTCGACGCTTGTAGACGAAGTGGAAGGCGAGACTGGTCGAACAACAAGCCACGATCCAGTAGCCGATGCCAACAGCGGGCTGGGCGGGGCACTTCAGAAAGCTGCCCCTGCTCCTCTTGTTGGCAGCACTGGGAAGCTAAATCAGACCACACCCATACGGAAGATGGCAGAAACAAAGCCAAAAGCCGGTGACCAACAGGTCCCTGGGCCGACGCCGCCGGCTGTGATGTCCATGTCCAGCTTTACACCAGGCGAGGCCCAGACTGGACCCCTGCCAAATGTGGCGTCACCAGCGTCCAAGGTCTGAACTTTGCTCTTTTTTAATCTATAAGCTCATTTAGTTGTCACATTGTCGTCCCTTTTATCCACTCATCCTTCCATCCACTCATCTCTCCTCCCGTCTTTCCATCCACCCTTTAATCCCTCAATCCCTCCATCCATCCATTCATTCATCCCTCCTCCAATCCTTCCACTCACCACATCCCCATCCCTCCTTCCTGCCATCCATCCATCCATCCTCCCATCCATCCATCCATCCATCCATCCATCCATCCATCCATCCATCCATCCATCCATCAATCCATGCATCCAACCACCTTTTCTGTTTAATTGTTCATAAATCCACCCACCCATCATTCGATTTCTTTGTCAGTCTCATCATACGGCCTCCCATTTTTTGTTCGCTATGTCCATCGAGTATGTGCGCCCTTTTCTCTGTCTGTCTGCTCAACTCTTCATCTTTTTTCTTCTCTTTCTGTCAGCAAGCGTGTGTCTCCTTTAGCGTTTACCGTCGTCATAGAATCATAGAATTTGCCAAAGAGCAATTACTGTTGACTTGCAATTTCATTTGAGGAGACGAGACAGCGACTTATCTTTGATTACGGTTTCCAAATTGAACTTATGTATTTGTCTGGTTTTGTTTAATCCGAACACGCCAAAAAAATAAATGAAGTCAATCAAAGAAACTGTGGGTGTTGATGAAAGGTTGTCTCAAGGGCTCTGTGCTTCTGGGGAATCTTACGTAAAAGAGCCCATATATTATTATAATCTTCCTGGATCATATTTCGAAATATCAGTCGTCTGCATGGCGATGGAAATCACATTTCTGTCTGTCATAGCGACTCCCTGAAACAGGTCTGGGGGAAAAGGGCTGTAGTGGGGAAAGCTGGGTAGGAGAAACCAGTTGTTGTAAACAAAGGAAAGCGATGCGGGGGGGGGGGGGGGGGGGGGAGTCTAGGACTAGTGAACTTTCGATTATTCTTTTGAGTCGCGATGAAATGTCAACGGGAATAACAGAACTGCAGAGCAGAAAGTAAGTATTGGCTGTCGAATTTGACGTCTGACTTCACCCCCATCACAGATTTTGACGTGGCTGCGTCATGTATGCATTGGAGCGAGCCAGCGAGATGAAGAAGGACAATGAGGATTTTTCTTTTTGTTTCTTTAGCTAAGTGAAAGAAATTTTGCATCCGAGCATCTGAAAAGGAAACGAAAAAGGAAGCAATAAAAAGCCAGACTAGCAATCTGCGACCGAAATCCAATCTTATGTTTGTTTCGCGTAACAAATGAAAGACAACAATATTTTATTATTCGTGAGCGTTAAATTGCTGGAATTCTCGAAAGATCACGGCAAATACAAGACGTGTCTTGGGTATTGAGAAGCCTCTAGAAAGGTCGTTGTAGTTGGGAGATTTATCCTTCTCCCGAATGAAAGGATTATGGTTGAAGTGAGCTGGACCCAGGAATTTAGCCAGGGCTTGCGCTACGTGACTGAGACAAAGTATTGTGGAATATTGAACAGAGCCGCCTGCTAAACAAGTCCCCCCTTCAGCTTTGGTTTTAGTGGACGTCAATGGCCAGATTGCCAGTATCGCATCGAGTTCGGATTTTCATCTGAAGCACATATTTTACGTGTTGGTGTGTATGCATGCGCGGGTGTTTATGTATAATGTATGTTTGTGTGTGTGTGTGTGTGTGTGTGTGTGTGTGTGTGTGTGTGTGTGTGTGTGTGTGTGTGTGTGTGTGTGTGTGTGTGTGTGGACTTGGAGGTAAAAAAGGTTTAGACGTCCGGACGATCAAGACTTGAAGAAGAAACGATAAACTCGCAAGGGAGAATGCAATTACAACAGACAATTATTATCATGTCACAAACGCTTTCGTAAGCAAAGTTACGAAGGTACCATTAATTCATTGGTTCAAGTCTCCAGAGACATTTTTCATGATACTCGAAGCTCTTATTATGATATTTCCTCCAGCATCGTCTACGCTTGAATACGTGCTCACGAATTCTCTCCTAAAAATATGAATGTGTCGACAGCACCCAGTCTGTTTGAATTGCTCATGTTACATGTTTTACGCTCTATCTGACTGGTCGGCCTATTTCTTCATTTTCTGTTGCCGGCGATATCCGTTTCCTCAGAATCAGAAGAACCGTGTTTCAAACAGCTGTTGTGGGATTCTTTTATACATTGCAGTTGAGGGTTAGGGCTAGCTGAACAGAACAGCTTTGTCATATGTGAATTGAACGTCAAACGCTAATGAGTTGTTGGGCAGGTAGAAGGAAACTGGTAATGTAAACATCCATCCTATTTGGGTTAATAATGAAAGGGATTCCAAAAACCACACTAAGTTGCTCTTTATATTCCTCAAGCCCTGAAGAGCTGGAGCTGAAGTTTTCAAACAATTTTTCAAGCTTGCCTTTTTTGTTCTCTTACCAAACACTATACATTTTGGCTTTTGATAAACAACTCGGTTTTTTTCCCCCGACGATTACGGCGTGCAATACACATAGATCTAGAACATTTTATATTTTAATGGAAACGTTTCTCGCAACAGTAGAATCGCTGCACTGGAAAAGAGACTTTTTTTTTCGATTCACCAATTTCTGAGTTGGTTGTTCTCGAGCGCTCTCTCATTGGTTATTATCACCTTACTTGTAACAAGTATAAGACTTATTTTTTTAAATTTTAATGTTGAGTATACATGCATTGGTGTGTGTTTGCGAGTTTAGTTTATTAATGTATGTATGTATGTATGTATGTATGTATGTATGTATGTATGTATGTATGTATG